TGAGCTAAAGTGGTCTGGGTGCATACAGTGTCCTTTTAAAGCAAAAACATTCATGTTATGACTTAAAAATTTTTTTCTGTTATCTGCATAATCGAACATTAATCTCTGGTCTTTGGCAGTGCATTAATTAGCTAAAATGAAGCAAGTTTGTCAAGCTTGTGAATTAAGTGTGAATTTTACTTATTTAAAAAGCAAAAAAACATGAATTAAAACTAATTTTGTTATATGTATACCTCCAAGCTTTTATAGAACTTGTCAGGTCTTTTCAAACAGTTTAGCATATTCCAGAAGGAGAAGGGTGTTTTTATTAGATTTTATTTTGGGGGGGGGGGGGGGGAAGGATTGGCATACACTGCAGAGACAGGACAAAAATGATCCCAAAGGAAAGAAGACGAACAGACGTGTTGCAGTTTGAGTAAAAATAGATTGAATTATGCATAGATGAAGTGGGTGAAACATTTGCATAGGCAGACATCCAATATAACACTTCTGTTCGGCTGCCAGTATTCTCTGATGGGTGCTATCTGTGATGGCAGCCTATCGTGTCGAGCTGATTAATTTAACCTCAATAAAGTTCATTTTAGCGTAGAAAGAAAGAAAAAAAAAATCTGTGAGTGGTGTGTCGTACAATGCAAAGGGAAATTCGATAATACAATATGCAAGCTGGGTCATAATATATTAGGATGTGAAATACCATTACATGTCATTGGGCAGCTACTTTTATAAAAAAAAAAAAATGTGCAATTTAGTTTTACATTTACCCATTTTTTTTACCACCCCTCATACACATAAACACACATTTTGTGAAGTTGTAAAAGTATTTTGCAGAAAATTTCATTTAATTTAAAGCAATATACATGACTAATATAATAAAAATACTACAGGATTGGAATGTTTCCAATGTATGTATATCCTGTATGTATATAAAAAAAACACTCAAATGTATCCCATAAACACTCACATTGCTGATGAGTGGAACTCCTGCATAGCTGTATAAGCTATCTCATAGGGCATATGATAGCATTATACAAATATATTCAAGGCCAATACAAAGCATTGTCTGGAAGCCTATTCATAAACAAAACTATACATAGCACACAAGGCCATGCAATTAGACTGGAAGAAATGAGATTTCATCTATTGCAAAGAAAAGGTTTTTTCAGTAAGAACAATAAGGATGTGGAATACTCTACCTGAAGAGGTCAACCACCTCTGCAGGCAGAGTATTCCACATCCTTATTGTTCTTAGTGTAAAAAAAAAAAATTCCTATCAGAATCTGCACAGATTTTTAAACAGCAACAAGATTAGAACTTGCAAAAACATAATATTCATGGATATCATTCTTATTTGTTGGGTAATAGCTTCTGGACCCAAGAAGTCATCTAACTGCCATACTGGGGTCAAGAAGGAATTTTTTTCCTAGTTGGTTGCAAAATTGTAAAGTTCTTAATACTTATTATTATTTTTTTGTGCCTACTTTTGAATCAACAGTAAAAACAGATGTGAGAAAAGCAGAACTTGATGGACACATGTTCTTTTCAGCTATGTAACTATGTAGCTGTGTTAGTACTGAAGTATCACTGTTAATTATTAGTAGAGAACCATTACTAACATATCACCTTATTATTAGGTAACTGATGAATTGTGAGACCAGCAAAATTAAGATTAATACGTGACTTATCTCAGTTTACTTATTAATTCAAATAATTAAAATTTTGGAAACAATAGATCTTGTTGAGCTTAGATTATGGTTAGTAAATATAATGCCCTACTTCCTCCAACCATCCCAGAAGCGGCCAAAACATTTGAGAATGACTCTGAAGGCTAGTTAATCTAGCCATTACAAAAACAAAGAAGGAAGCTACACTCATTATCCTAATTTCTGTTTATGTAATGTGAGTAGATTTGATCTAATCCATCACACATATTCCATCCAATATATGTATGTATTTTTATTGTCTTTACTGTTGTGTACTTTTCTTTGATTGATTAGTTGTAACAAAGATAATGTTTTTTGTTGTTGTTTCGGGCCCCATGACACTGCCAGCAGTGAAATTATACCTTCACCGGCAAAAGAGTTAAACCTAGTAAGGGGATTGTTTTATAGTGAAATGTCTGACATCCACTAGAGAGACTTCTTGAGTTAGATAAAATAAATTTTTGCAGGACCTATGCTCAGTGTCTCCATGCTCTGCATGGAGACGCTGAAGAGCTCCCCGTAGAAATGCACTGATTCAGGAGATGAGGGGATGCAGAGCAGCATTTAAAGTGCATGCACAATAGCCTCCCAATGCTCTGGATTGACTGAGATAATTAAGTTTGATGATTGCAGCTATTAGGGAACGGGGCAGCCATGCTCAAGACCAGCACTTCAATGGAGAAAAGGTAAGTAAACAATCTTTACCCTGCAATCTGAGGGTGGCCAGACACCGACCCATGTACTCCAGCACGATAGTGTTAGGAATACATTTTGTGTTCCTTACACTATAGTGTACATTTAAAATTCCAAGGAAGCACTCTTAAATAGGAGTCAGCAAAAAAATCATGCTAAAGGTGCGGAGACAACATTTACTGCGAGCTAAGAAACAATATTTTATCACAATGCAGGAATGTTTGGAGCATTATAGTTACATAATATTAATTGAACATTTAAAGCTGCGATATGAATGTTATGGAAAGCAGATTGTATAACAGAAAATCAAGCCACCCAAAAATTCATCTTCACTAGAAAAAAATAATAATATGCGGAAAGCATTAAGGAAATGGTGCTATTTAAAAGTAGACGTAGAAATGAAATAAACGCTATCATTAAGAGCAATTAGCTACATCATTATTTTTCTTCTGTGCACAGTACTTTGCAAAGGCAGTGGTTAGCAAACAGTAAGCACATCCAGAAATAAAATAGCATGTCAGATTATAAGAAATGACAGCAAACAGTTATTGACTCAGATAATACGCAGTAGCTAGGAACAACTTGGCATTACTTAATGACCCCTTTGGAATCTATTATAGCTAAACAATCTAAAGTTTGTTCCAATAAAAGTGCGTGTGTGTGGCATGTATTGCGAGACATAATGCATGGTAATTAAGCCAAGATCAGATGACTTTATAAGTAAATGATCACTAAATGTATGTTTATAAAGAAAAGGAATATAAATGGATGAAAGAGCACATCTTGCGTGTCAATCAATACAAAATGACATTCAATACGGAGGACACAAAAGGTGATACTTGAGATGTTGAGGTGTATTTTCAAGATGGGTGTTTGAGAGTCAGTACTGAAACAAGTGAGATGGTGAAAATGACTACTGTCACTTCAATAGTAGACTGGAGCAAAGGGGAGAAATTTGGTTAGGCCAATCAAATTTGGCCAAAATAAATACATTTTTGTTCCAGGTGCGTTGGGATTTGTCCATGTGGCTGTTTGGGATTTTGTCCATGCCTTTGATTTAGAAAAAACTATTTGGACAAACCAAAATGGTGCAAAAATGGTGCAAAAATCGGTGTTTCACGCCATTTGGTTCACAGGTGACGTGAGAAGAAGAATACAATGAAGGGGAAAAGAAGACGAGTAGTAAAAAAAGGGATATATTTATATATTATATATTAATCAAATATATAATATAGAAATATAGATTTTTACTGCTATTTAGCTGCAAAAATGTGGTAATTTACTTTAATGACAGCCAGTGCATTCTGAGTTTTAATGTATGCATTCCACACATTCTGTTTTACATTCATTATTTTATTATTTAAATACCATACTGAGTGGTTAAGGATACATCTCTGCCAATTCACCACTGCCATGATTTTCTTTTTATTGGCCCAAGTTGTTCTGATGCCTTTGCGTCTTTTAATAATTTAAAAGAATGTGTGAATGTATTAAAGAGCTCCTCGGCAATTATACTCCCAGCAAAGGGTGGTGTCAACATTTGAATATATCACAGGTTTATATCGCTAAAACCGAAAGTACTGTGAGCTATTTAAGACTATATCACCGAGCTCCAAAGCAGTAAAACCATTTAGCACTAAAAACCATTTAGTTTTTATAATAAATCAGTTCTACAACAATAAAGCTCACAGCACTGTATTGTATGAGTGTATCACAGAGCTCAAAAAGCAGTAAAACGCACAGTACTGTATACTCTGTATACGTATAATAAAGAGCTCCACAGTGTAATACTCAAATCAATGTGTGCTGTGTTTGAGAGTATCACAAACCTGCATATGATCAGAACTCACCTTGTTGCATATCAGTATCACAAAGCTCCACAATAATAAGACTCACACTAAGGCTTGGTGTGCATAAATGTATCACAGAGCTTTACATAAAATCCATAGTAATGTATGTTTGAACAACAGTAACTATGTTTATAACTTAGATTGGTTAAAAAAAATATTTAGTTTCAAATAACACTGGTCAACAATCTTTTTTCATCAGCCACGATTTTAGGTGGACTCGATAGATTTTTTAATGCTGGTTTCAAACCTGTTTTTTTTCTTTTTTTTTGGCACCACGTCTAGTTTTTTTGTGACGAGATGCATTATGTTTCAGCATTTTTGTGATTTTGTTACAACTGAAACAATATTTCTCTTCATTTCAGATTTGATTTTGTTCAATGTAAATTTACTTATCAGCATGCCTAGAAAATGCAAAACTCACCCCGACATATTTTGCTATGTATGCGGCTTATTTACAGCTTCATGACAGCGACGTAAAATTACCAAAGATCTCATGAAAATCTACAAATTGTACTTTGGGTGCCCACTTAGTGATCAGGATAAAGCATTCGGCTACGCACGTTATTTGCACTGTATGTTACAGCGGTTTACGGGATTAGCGTTACAGACGGAAGACTTCACTTCCATTTGCAATACCCATGGAGAGAGCCAAATGATCATCATAGTGATTGTTAGTTTTGCTGCGTTAATACAACTGTTTTTTCAACAAAAATGTATCCAAATTTGGATTCGGCCATCAGACCAGTTCCTCAAAGAAGTGAATTTGAGCCAGGAGGGAACAGTGTCCTAAACATTTCATTTGTTTGATCCGCAAAAAAAATTCTTGCCACCTCTCCATCTTAAGCTTGGCTTAATGATGAACTTTCTGAAAGCGATGGGGAAAGATAATTCTGCAGGATTTCAGTACTTGGTAAAGAAATATCCAAAGATCAGTGCAGCAAAACTGAAGGAAGGAATCTTTGTTGGGCCCCAAATTTGTGAAGTTTTGCAAGACACAAACTTCAAAGTTTCTCTCAACATTCAAGAAAATTCTGAAAATATACATGTAATGGCACCCCCAGGCATAAAAGGGTTAAACCGCTGTTTAGTAGATCTTCCCCTTCCAGAGACACAGGCACAGCTACTGCAGAAATCCAATCCGCCGAACAGGAAACCATATGAATGCCGTGAACAGCCGAATAGGAAAAACCATCAGAATAGGTTTCCACTCCTAGCAGTCGAACTGGAACAGCATACAATAAATCCCCCAAAGAACGAGACAAAGCAGAGCTGTGGGTTTATTGTTCTTATATACACATTAGTACCACCCACAAGGTTTTGGAACACAACCAATAAACACATACAATACACTCAGACACTCCCACAAAATCCTCCCCTCTGCCTGTGATACAATTACCTTACACAATGGGTAATGTAATTATCACAAGTAGAGAAATACAATTTTTCCACATTATTCATAACTTGAAAAGTATGCATCACATTCACATAAACTTACATTTTCAGAATCAGCATACTCCAAATACAAACATATGTCAAAATCATCCAAATTGGTCCTGTGGTTCAAAAGATAGATCGTAGTCCTTTGTGACCAAAGGAAGCATGGCTTTTCTGCCCAAAACCAGTTCCACGGAGTCTTCTATCCTGGAGATAATTGGGAAGTAATCCAATTATCTCCAAGGACAGAGGCAAAACTCCATTAAGCACATGGCAGTAAAAAGACAGTAAAATACAATAAAATACACAAGGTTACATAAAATACATAAAATACAGACATGCAACATATCCCCAGATAGCTTAGGTCTGAGCACACATTATTACTGAATGGCGCTCAGACCACACACATACAGTTCAATCGCCATGGACCCAAAGTCTTTTGTTACACAAATAGGCTCCATGGTATAGCTATCTGGGTTAAATGAGTTCATTCAGTAAATCCGAGAATCTACCGAACGCCAGGGCAGAAATACAGGAATAGACCTTTCTGCATAGGAAAATAAAGTATTTAAATGCTCCTCCAATGCACAGTGGCGAGATTGGTCTCGTCACAATACATAAAATCTATCAAACCCAAAGGATGATCGTATTTCACAAACCAGACATGATACAGCAAAAGTGAATACATATTTGGAATCAGCGTTACAAATTGATCTAGAAGAATATGTTTTGGTTTATGAAAAGAGAAAAAAAGTTTTATTATGCTGACCTGTGTAATTTTGTCAATTAACCCCTTAAGGACCAAACTTCTGGAATAAAAGGGAATCATGACATGTCATGTGTCCTTAAGGGGTTAAAGCAAGTATGCCCTAATAAAATTAAAATGAATAGACAACGATTGAAAATTACTGCTTTTTCACATTTACTGCTAACACTTTTTTACTAAACAAATAGCCAGTTGTGAGGAAGTTTCATAAGAATATAGATGTATTGATATAACAGAACTATTTTAGCACATTTATGACTACACGTTAAAAACATTGTAATGTGTTCTTTTGACGCTTTATCTTATACAAGAGTTTTTTATCACACACGTTGTATTCATTATTTATCACAACAGTGAAATGATATCTGATATACTGATTTAAAGGTCCATTATAGGCATCCAGACCATTTCAGCTTAATCAAGTGGTCTGGGTGCCAGGTCCATCTAGATTTAAGCAGTTTCAGTTTACATTAGGGTTAACCCAGCCTCTAGTGGCTGTCACATCGACAGCCGCTAGAGGCACTTCCGCGCTTCTGTGATTTTCACTGTTAGAAGACGCCAGCGTCCATAGGAAAGCATTGAGAATGCTTTCCTATGGACTGACTGAATGCGTGCGCATTCAGCAGATGACATCAGAAGGAGGAGGAGAGTCCCCAGCGCTGAGGGAGACCGGCGCTGAAGAAAGGTAAGAATTGTACCCCTTCCTCCCCCTTCAGCCCAGAGGGAGTGGGACCCAGAGGGTGGGGGGACCTATTAACACTATAGTGCCAGGAAAATGAGTTTGTTTTCCTGGCACTATAGTGGTCCTTTAACGCACAATTTTTGATGGAAATTTGATAGAGCATTCATTATGGTATCATTTTATCACATTGTGGTTCGTTTGTGCATGCTTCTCTTTGTCTTTCATCATATCATCACCGTGCTGAGTCAAAATTCAAATATCAACCTTCCCGGACCTTTATTATTATTATTATTATTATTATGATATTTATAGAGCGCCGTCAAATTCCGCAGCGCTTTACAATGGGTGGACGAACAGACATGTAGTTGTAACCAGACAAGTTGGACACACAGGAACAGAGGGGTTGAGGGCCCTGCTCAATGAGCTTACATGCTAGAGGGAGTGGGGTATAGTGACAGTAACAGAGGGATTGAGGGCCTGCTCAATGAGCTTACATGCTAGAGGGAGTGGGGTAAAATGACACAAAAGGTAAGGATAGGATTAGACTAGTGACAGTTGCAGAAGAGGAATCAGTCAGGAGCTATTAACAGTTTGATTGATAAGCTTTTATGAAGAAGTGGGTTTTTAATGATGCCCAGCCGTGTCAAACCACGATATTCATTCACTTCAGTCCATGCTCATTTCGAATTATTAGGATCATGGATTAAAGGGAATTTGTACTGTTCCTGTTGGGATAAAATGTAAGATTTTGGCAATGTCTAAGAACGTCTTTCCTAAGAACTGTCTGTAAGGTACATAGAATGTTAATTCTCTCTGAGATATTTTCAGCCATAGACTTAGGGAAAAAAAAGAAAAAAGTAAGAGAAAAAAAGAATATTTTTTTCATATGAACGTATGCACATTAAGTTACCAACTTATTTCTACATTAGCAGACAAAGCTTATTTTCCCCTTTAAGGCATTTATTCTGTAGAGCTAACATTTGCTGTAATTAATACATCCCTTTATAAAACAGTGAGATGCAAATATTAGGCTTTTTACAAAACGAATGTGATTGGCTGAATATATCTGCTGGCGCGTGCCATTGGGTATAAGCTTGATGTTGGACAGGGACATAAAGATTTGCGCCTTCAGGAAATCATCAGTGTCAGGAAACCAGCCCTAAATATATGAAATAATTGCAGCTTTGTGCACTCAGATGACTTGTTCTGCTTGCATTCCAATTCCCAACACAGAATGTCAAGTACAACATTTGTTATAATAGCAGTGACTATGTAACAAAGTGAGCACAATGTAGCTTTCTTTAACAGAAATAAAAAGGCTGTTCAAAACAATCCACAAGGGATAAAGTGACACATATTACTATATTATTGTTTTATCCCTTACATAAAGGTTTTAGATAATCCCCCATCAAAAATAAATTTTACTGCAACAAAGGTTTTTGTTTAATAATCAGTAGCTCAGTCGCTGGATGCCTCCTTGGTGCCCTGTCATTCAAACATATTAATCAAGGCTAACAAAGGTCCATCCAGATCAACCATTTACACGTTTCTGCAGTTGATCCAAAATAATGCCAAAAAAAACCTGTTTATAAACTATTTACAAACTGAATTTTTTCCCCTATGCTTCCAAAATGGCAGTTAGATATGTCCATGCTGTTACCACCCACACTGATTATTATACCCTGTAATACTCTGTAATATCCTGTAATATAATTATCCTTCTATTTTATTTCCCCTTCATCCAGAGTCTCTCCCGCAGGATAGCATATCCTGCTGAATTATTCATTATTTTATTGCTGGGTAGTTGCATTTTAAACATGTTAGCCTGCTTCATCCCTGATTGCCGTGATGTACCGTGCCGGGCCCCACATACACAATGTTATTTAATGACAGTTAGCATGCTGTCTGACATACAGTTCCTGTTCCATTGCTTGCCCCTAATCTCCAGCTATAACAACAGAAACAACCTCTCCTTTAAAGGACCTCTCTAGGCACCCAGACCACTTCAGCTTTATGAAGTGGTCTGGGTGCCAGGTACCTCTAGGATTAACCCTTTTTTTTATAAACATAGCAGTTTAAGAGAAACTGCTATGTTTATACTGAGGGTTAATCCAGCCTCCAGAGCCTCTGGTGGCTGTCTCATTGACAGCCGCTAGAGGCGCTTGCGTGATTCTCACTGTGAAAATCACAGTGAGAGCACGCAAGCGTCCATAGGAAAGCATTGTAAATGCTTTCCTATGCGACCGGCTGAATGCGCGCGCGGCTCCTGCCGCGCATGCGCATTCAGCCGATGACGTCGCAAGCAAGGAGGAGAGGAGGAGTACAGCTCCCCGCCCGGCGCTGGAGAAAGGTAAGTGTTTAACCCCTTCCTCTCTCCAGAGCCCGGAGGGAGGGGGTCCCTGAGGGTGGGGTCACCCTCAGGGCACTATAGTGCCAGGAAAACGAGTATGTTTTCCTGGCACTATAGTGGTCCTTTAAGTGTCATTTTTATTTTCCAGTTGTTTTTTGCATTTTTCACAAACAAATATGAACGCTAACTTTGGCTAGTGTTTGTGACTAAATGGCTACTAAAAAAGACTGGACATGCCCCATTTGTAATACCCCGGGTTATCTTCTTTTGCAAATGGTATGCCGTCATGGAGGTAATTCTTATTCCTGGGCTACCAAACAGTCTCAAGGCACCATAACCAATCTGACTGTTCTGGACAAAAATATTAACCCAATTAATGTTAGTAAAATGCCTATTTACTCAGCATAACCATAATCAGTATTATTCAACGTTATACATAAATTACCTAAAATGGCCGCTAGGGAGTTTCCCCTTGTCATCAAATAACACCCTCATTAACAAGATGGCGCTGGAATCTGGGGCAGACCTCCAGGATACCAGTGACATCACACCCGGTAGGAAGAGCAATAAATGAACCACTTAACACCTAACCAATTATTGATGTATTAGTCTCTGTTATCTCTGACAATGCATATCATGTAATTCTGCTTTATAAGGGGCATGCTGTCCCCCTGGAATAACCTGAAACTTGTGTCTGGTGTGAATTACTTCAGGAGCATGCATGCATACTTCAATTTGGCCATGGGCAGATATGCAAG